TTATGGACAGGCACTACTGCAGCTTCTATATACTACTTGAGTGTAAGGATAAAAGGGAGAAAATGTGGGAAAACAAAGGAAGGGGTGAGTGACATTAGTAATAAACAGAGGCTGGCCTATGATCGTAGCTACTCAGGAGGCTGAGATCTGAGGATCATGATTCAAAGCCAGCCTAGGCAGCAATGTCCATGAGACTCAATATCTCCAATTCATCATAAAAAAAGCCAGAAGTGGAGCTATGATTCAAGTGGTAGAGCAGAAAAGACCTGAGTTCAAAAACCAGTATTGCTTTTTAAAATAATAGAAAAAAATAGTAATAGAATAAAAGTATAATAGTTGGTGCACGGTTACACAAATTTGACCACTAGAACAGAATATAGATCACAAAAGTAAACTTACCATATTAGATATGAGGAAGGTGACTTTGCTGAACAGTAGGAAAACTGTCATAAATAACAGTGAGAGGACTGTATACATACATAATTAAGTCCTCCTCAAATTAGAGCATCACACCACATTTTAAAAATAACTTCTGGGCTGGGAAGGTAGCTCAGTGGCAGAGTGCTTGCCTTGCATGTATGAGGCCCTGGGTTCAATTCCTCAGTACCACATAAACAGAAAAGGCCAGAACAAAGGCCGAAGTGGTGCTGTGGTTCAAGTGGTAGAGCATAGTAGCGCCCAGAGTTCAATCCCCATGACCAACAACAACAACAAAAATAACTTCTAAGTGGATCAATCAATTAATTATAAAGGGCAAAACTTAACTTTTATAGGAAAAAAACATTGGTAGGGAAGGTTTAACAAAATACAAAATACAGTAATAAAAAGATTTTATTCAAGTACTAATTCAAAATATCTGCTTATTAAAAGATAGCACAAAGGAAAAAAAAAAAAGCCATGTAGCAGGAAAAGACATTTAGAACTCCTAATCAGTAAGAAATGATCCAATCAAAAACAGGAAAACCAACAACAGTACTTTCAAAGAACTTATTGTTGCCAATAAATACAAAAACACATGTTCAGTCTTATCAGCAATTGGGAAAATGAAAATTAAGAGTACAATTAGAGGCTGTTTCATATTCATAGTTGGCAGAACTTTTGAAACTTTGACAACACAAACTATTGGAAAGAAGACAAAATGGAAACTATGTAAATCTGGAAGTGTAATTTAGTACAACTGGTTTGAAAACATTATGAGCCTGACACCAACCAGTGTCTTATGCTTATAATCCCAGTTACTCAGGAAGCTAAGACTTAAAAGAATCACAGTTTAAAGCCAGCCTAGGCAGACAAACAGATCCCAGAGATTCTTATCTCCCGAACAACAAGCAAAAAGCTAGAACTGGAGATGTACTTCAGGTAGTAAGGTACAAACTTGAAACCAAAGAACTAAATGTGAGGACTGAGTCCAAGATCCAGTACCAGCACACAACCACACACACACAAACACACAAACCCTTTTATGGCATTCACTTAAGGCGAAAGATGCAGATTTCTATAACCCAACAAACTCAATTCCATTCTTATGAACTGTATCAGCATATACTAAAATGTTCATGGATATACTCATTCAGCAGCCAAAGGAAAGAAAATAAAAAGAAACCACAGCAAACACATCTATCAGAATGTAACACAACATTGAATCAAATGTAGTTACATGTATGCTTCAAAAGGCCTGAATCATAAAAACAACACTGAATAAACAGTCTTTGGAAATAATATTTAGTAGAATTCCATTTAAAGTTCAGGTATTTTTAACAAATACATATGAAATTGCAATGTCTAAATTCAAGACAATAATAATCTCTAGAAGCAGGAAGACATAACAAGGAAAGAAAACATCAGAAAAAGGGACAGGGGATCTTCATCAATATACAATGTTCCTATTTTCCTATAATCTCACCAGCAAAACTATTTTCTCAATTTTTTTTCAATTCTTCCAATCTGATAAGAGAACAATGGTAAATGAATATATTTAAAATCTGCCATTTCTATTATCAGGCATAAGGTTCATCAATACTCTGTATTTTAACTAGTTGTATCCTTAAATAGAAACTAGTAATATATTCTTTACTAGAATGTTCTTATATTGATTCTGGTAGCTCAGATGTAACATAGAAATAAGTACTTTGCCTCCTAAATCAAAGATAATTACAGTTTTCAAGTGCCTTTTACAAAAGGTATTGATACAATTGTGTAATAGTGTAGCACTATTCAGTTAATTATTTTCTTTAATATGAGTGCCATTATTCTTTTATATTATGATGTATTTCAAGATCAAATTTTATTTTAAGGAAGATAAACTAGAAATATTTAGAACTATTGAAGTCCTCTATACTTTTATGACTTGGACATTATTGTTTTTAATGCATAAGAGCATCTCACTGGGCCATATGGCAAAGACAAAATACTGCTTCACACCCAAGGGCAAGAAATCAAAACTACTTTAAAACAGCTGTATGGGAATTGTTTTTACTTTTGTCTTTGCTTCCACAAAATCAACACATTTGGACTTCATTTAAGACACTTTAAAGAAAACACTTTCAAATTACTGAATCTGCCTACAGTTTTGCAATGCTCATCTAATTCCTCAAATAATCTACCACTCCTCAAGATAGAATTTACAGAAATGAGTTTGCTGGGTCAGGATGATGACAATCATTATTAAAATTTCAGTATCTATGATTCCAAGGAAGAAAAGGAAAACTTTTTCCAGTTTCAAGATAAAATGGAATCTCACAGGCAGCTTATTCTCATTGTGTCTTTTAACAATATAGCAGGCTACCATTAAAATATGCTATTTTTTTCTTTATTTGGTGACATAAGGTCGTAATTGTACCTATTAAAAGACTGAGAAATTTCAAATTTACCTTCCAAAATATATAAAGCTACTATTAGGGACTTTTTATTCCTTCAATTGCTCCATAAAGTTTTTATCATCTTGAACTTTTTTTTTTTAAAGACAGGAGGCATTCCAGTTTTCTTTCCTTCCTTTCTTCCTTGCTCTTCTGAACTGGATCACTTGACTAGAAAATGGATCTGAATGAAAACCAAGGAGATCCACAAGAGAGAAAGGGATGAAATACAGTATAGATTCAGCATTCCTAATCTGAAATTCAGAAATGAATCTAGGTATGTTGGTGTTTCCCTGTAATTATAAGGCTTAGGATGCTCAGGCATCGGGGATCTCAAGCTCTAGGTGTCAGCTTGAAGTACATGGAGACGTTTTTTCCCCAGGAGGAAACAAAAAATCATGAATGATCAAAAATCCGAAACTTTTTGAGAACTGACACAATGCATTAAGGGGAAAATTCTGCTCTAATCTCATATGATGTGTCCTAGTCAAAATGCAGGTGCACTAAAAATCATATATAAGTATACTACTATAGTTTTGGACTATGTGTATTTGGCATTCATAAAAAATGTTTCTATATCTTAGGTATGGTAAACAATTCTAAAATGACCATGGTTGTGCTGGTGGCTTTAGTGAAACTTCGTTTGTGGTCATTTGGGAAAATATTTACATTTACATTTTATCCCCAACATACTTCATTATGTGAAAAATGCACTGAACTTTTGAAAATATCAAAACCTATACTACTCAACCTATATTTACCAGGCAACAAATTGAAACATAATGAGGAGTTTATCCATAGGCATGAACAAAGTTCAGTTACAGCTAGTGAAACAAAGCTGGTATCTGACAGAATAGACATCTGAGATTCTAATGAATGTGTATCAATACAAAAAAAAATGTTAGTGCTGGATGCCAGTGGTTCACGCCGCCTGTAATCCCAGCTACTCAGGAGGCTGAGATATGAGAATCAAAGTTCAAAGCCAGCCCAGGCAGTGAAGTCCATGAGACTCTTTAACCACCAGAAAACCAGAAGTGGTGCTATGGCTCAAGTGGTAGAGCACTTGCCTTAAGCTGCAGAGCTCAGCGACAGCACCTAGGCCCAGAGTTCAAGCCCCACAACCAACAACAACAACAAAAAAAAAAGGAAGGTCAAAGATTGTAATTTTAACACTAACATATTAACTAATAAAATGAAGGCCTGAATGGATATTCTGAATCTATTCTGTTGATACTTAAGTATAAATTTTCTGGGACCATGTCTCTATGTGAAATAATACAGTAAAATCATGAAAAAGGATGAAATGTTAACATTTGGTTTTTCAGAAATATTGCCTGCTACTAAGGGTTAAGTTAGCTGGGCTCAATTTTATTAATGCATTACTAATGTATTATCAATACCAATATCAGAAGGAAGAAATAGTTCTGTTTAATGCTGAAAGAAATGCTATTCTTCACAAATGACAAAAAATTATAAATTACTGTATAAGTGTAAAATTTCATACTCTTTGAATCTAAGATCATAAAAATAACAATCATTCCAAAATTTTAGTTCATCAAGAGTGACAGAATTGCCTCTACTGCATCTCTTAATGATTATTTCAACTAATTAAAATACAGCATATAGAAGGTAAGATAAAAAAAAAAAAAAGTAGGTAAGATCAGTTCGCTGCCAATGACTACAATGCTAATCAGAAGTTCGAGATCTGAAGATTATAATTTGAAGCCAGCCCAGGCAGGAAAGAACATGAAACTCCTATCTTCAATTAACCACAAAAAGCCAGAAGTAAGTGTGGTTCAAGTGGTAGTAGAGTACTATCCCTGAGAGAAAAGCTAAGAAAGAAAACACACCAAGTTTAAGACTTCATATCATTGCATATTCATACACACATCATTGCATATTCATACACACATACACACAAACCACACACACGCCCCAAAACAAGTTTAAACCTTCATACCATTGTGTACATACACTCACACACCAAAAGTAAGGTGAAATGTCCCAACTAACATATTTCAAATACTTCAGGTTAATCCTCATTCTCAAAATCATTCTAAAACTTGACCTATACTGGAACCAAAACAGTCTTTAAAAGGATCATAATACTGATTGCTAACGCGTCATTTCTCTTAAGTCACTCACCTGTCAAACCTAGAGTTTGTAGCTGGAAGAGCCGACCAAGTTCATAAGGCAAAACCCGTAACTGATTGTGATTTAAAAGCAATTCCCTGTTTAAAAAGAAAATTAGTTTAATATATGACAATTAATATCTACATTTGCCATTCATAAACTTCTCTGTAACAAACTATGATGTTCAGAATCAAGGTATTTCTCCATGCTGACCCCAAAATGCCATGCAATCGTAAAGTGCTATAAAATAGGTAAATGTCAAATATTCACAGGGATTCTATCATTACTCATTCTCTAGCACATATAAAAGCAGAAGTATTAATAATTTCACATTCTTAAACTAAATCTACCCTCTTTACTCTCATCCAAAATGCTGTCAGACGTGTAACGAAGTGACAGACATCATTCTATCCAAACATAACAAGAGATGAGCATGAATCTTGCTTAAAATACAGAAAAATGTAAACTTTATACAAACTTTAGGATCATCTTTTATAACTTATTATGAATCTAGTTATAGCAAAATACTATGAAAACAAAAGACAAAGTACATCCAAGAAGTAGAACAAAATATTCTGACACTCATTAACAGATTATTAAAGCAGAGAATAAAATACATGAGACCAGACAGCATGGATGGGAAAGGTAAGCTTATGATTACAAAATTTGGGGCAGAGTACAGAATAACGAGTACTTGCATTAATAGATAACCAAAAGTTTAAAAATATCAAATAACCACCTCAGGGATAGACTGTAAAGACCAACGGATAAGTTTAATCTTAAACATGTGATAGCAATTTTTTTTTATTATTACTTAGGCCAGGTGCTGGTGGCTCACACCTGTAATGAAAGAACTCAGGGGGCTGAGATCTCAAGATCAAGGTTCAGACTTTCCTAGCCTAGGCAGGAAAGTCTGTAAGAGACTTATCTCCAATTAACCATGATAAAGCTGGAAACAGAACTGTAACTCAACTGGTAGGGCATTAGTCTTGAGCAAAAGAGTTCAAGGACATCACCCAGACCCCCTGAGTTCAAGCCCCAGAACCAGCAAAAAAAAAAAAAAAAAAATATATATATATATATATATATATATGTATATATGTGTGTGTGATATAAATATAAAATATTTTAAATATAAAATGTAGATTTAAATGTTTATATAATTTACATAACAAAATTATAGATTATATAATTTATAAATTATATATTATATATGCTATATAATATTGTATATTATGATTGTATAATTATATAATATTGTATATTATGATTGTATAATTATATATGTTTATATACACTGTATATTTTATAATATATACTTAAATATATAAATTATGTAAAATACTTTAAAAATATAAAAAAAATTTTCTTTGCTTAGTTGAAAAGGCAGAAAGCCAAGTCATAGAATGTGTAAATGAATGCTCTTTCTGGGGGCTGGGGAGATCCAGCACAACTACTGCTTATTCTCCAAAGAATATTGGGAGCTCTCGGTCCTCAGGGACGTGAGACAGACCACTGAGTGGTTGCCCTGTGACTGAGTTTTCTACAGGAATTTTATTAAAGATTGTTTAATTTTGTCAAAAAAAAAAAAAGAAAGCCAAGTCATAGGGATCATTTTTATAAGACAACATTTTTGCAATTTTTTTTCCTATAAGAAATTATCTTAGGGTTAAAATTTTGAAATATATTTCAACTATATATGAAACCAGCATGAAGAACCTCCATGAAAGTTGAGCAATAGCAGGCAAGAAAGTAGAAAAGACAAGTAAGCCCTTTTGCTGAGGACTGGATAGTATGAAGGATTAACAAAGAGGATGAATGAAGATGAATATGGTCAAAGTAGACTTATGAATAAAAGTAGACAATGAAACCTGTTGACATTGTTTTAGGAAGGGGGAAAAGGGTAAGGATAATAGAGAGGGTGAGATTAACTGGATCACATGGTATACATGTGTGGAAATGTCAATGAACCCCCCCCTTTTTTTTGTGGGTCATGGAGCTTGAACTCTGGGCCTGGGCATTGTCCCTCAGCCCTTCAGCTCAAGGCTAGTGCTCTACCACTTGAGCCACAGCACCACTTCCAGTTTTCTGGTAGTTAATTGGAGATAAGAGTTTCACAGGGGCTGGGAAGGTGGCTCAGTGGTAGAGCGCTTGCCTTGCATGCATGAGGCCCTGGGTTCGATTCCTCAGCACCACATAAGCAAAAAAAAAAAAGCCGGAAGTGGTGCTGTGACTGAAGTGGTAGAGTACTAGCCTTGTGCTGAAGAGCTGAGGGACCGCACCCAGGCCCAGAGTTCAGGCCCCACGACCGGACCCAAAAAAAAAAAAAAAAGTTTCAGACTTACTTGCCCAGGCTGGCTTTGATTCTCAGATCTCAGCCTCCTGAGTAGCTACGATTACAGGCATGAGGCACTGGCACCCGGCCAATGAAGCCCCTCTTGTATAACTTATCATTGCTTAAAAAAAAAAAAAAAAAAAACTCTTAAAAGAATCTTTTTATGTTTCATTAAGGACTTGTAATATGAAATATAAATATGCATAGCCTTACATAACTACGATGTTTCTAAAATTATTGTTTATAAGTAAATCATTTTATCAAAAATTTCTGAACATTCTCTTCAGACTGTAGTCTAAAGTAAGACTTTTAACCTTATCCCAGCTAAAGACTGTCAAAAGAAACTGATATAAAGAAATAGAAATACAAAGAAAAAGAACTATTCAGTGGAAGTTAAATTAAGCACTGTGCTTAGTTTGATGTTCACCAACATGGAAATTCCACTGCAAGAATGAGTAATTAGGGGCACATGATTGGAGAGAAGAAAGGTAAACAAATGCACATTTGTGTAAATATTGAACTAGGATAGGAATGAGAGAGGGCAATAGGAAAGAATGATGGGCCAGGTGCTGGTGGCTCATGCTTGTAATCCTAGCTACTCAAGAGGCTAAGATCTGAGGATCATGGTTCAAAGCCAGCCCAGGCAGGAAAGTTCATGAGACTCTTATCTCCAATAAACCACCAGAAAACAGGAAGTAGCACTGTGGCTCAAGTGGTAGAGCACTAGTCTTGAGCTGAAGAGCTGAGGGACAGCACCCAGGCCCAGAGTTCAAGCCCCACAACCAAAAAAAAAAAAAAGAATGATAGAAGGGCTAACAATGATCAGTACTCATGACCTGACTTGAACTGTAACCTTTTTGTACAACTACTTAGTAGCAATAATAATAATAGACCAAGAACTACAGCTCATGCCTGTAATCCTACTCAGAAGGCTAAGATCTGAGGACCTCAGTTCAAAGCCAGCCCAAGAAGGAAAGTTCATCAAACTTTTTTCTCCAATTAACTACTAGAAAACTGTGGCTCAAGTGATAAAGTGCTGGCCTTGAGTCAAAACACTCAGGGACAGCACTCAGGCCAAGTTCAAGAAAAAGTCAAAGCAACAAAAAAAAGTATCTCATGATTTTAACTGGTAAATTTATTTATGAATTTTGACTTTAATATTTTCTTACCTGAGAGACACCATGTTTCCTAGTTCTGCTGGTAAACTTCTGAGTTTATTGGATGACAGATCCAGGTAAACCAGATTATGAAGCTTGGCAATATCAGGTGGAATGCGAGTAAGGTTATTGTCATTAAGGTGTAGCGCTGTCAAGTGTGTCAAAGACCAAAGTGATGTACTTAAGCTCCGCACTTTACCTAAAAGGCAAAATATTAAAGCATTAAAACTCTAGGCCCAGCCGGGCGCCAGTGGCTCACACCTGTAATCCTAGCTACTCATGAGGCTGAGATCTGAGGATCTCAGTTCAAAGCCAGCCCGGACAGGAAAGTCCATGAGATTATTATCTCCAATAAACCACCAGAAAACTGGAAGTGGCGGTGTGGCTCAAGTGGTAGAGTGCTCACCTTGAGCTGAAGAGCTGAGGGATAGGGTATAGGTAGAGTGCTTGCCTTGCATGCATGAGGCCCTGGGTTCAATTCCTCAGCACTACATAAGCAGAAAAAGCTGAAAATGGCACTGTGGCTTAAGTGGTAGAGCGCTAGCCTTGAGCTGAAGAGCTGAGGGACAGCACCCAAACCCAGAGGTTCAAGCCCAACAACCAAAAAAAAACACTCTAGGGCTGGGAAGGTGGCCCAGTGGTAGAGTGCTTGCCTTGCATGCATGAGGCCCTGGGTTTGATTCCTCAGCACCACATAAGCAAAAAGAAAAAAGCCAGAAGTGGTGCTGGGCTCAAGTGGTAGAGCACTAGCCTTTAGCTGAAGAGCTGAGGGACAACGCCCAGGCCCAGAGTTCAGGCCCCACGACCGGACCCCCCAAAAAAAAAAATCACTCTAGGTCTACAACCAAAGTTAAACTACAAGCTAAAATGGCAGAAGAGACTGCAAATACACTCAGATATTGTACAACCCATACAATGTACTGATATTCTAATCAAATTTAAAGCCACATAACTGCTTCCAAATGCCTGTGACCTTCAATTCACACCATTTTTGCTTAACCATCACTCCTTTTCATGGCCTACCTGTATTAAATGATAAAACAAAATGTAAAGACCCATGCTGTCCTATCTTAAGGATAAAGAATGAGGCTGCAAGCCCAACACCAGTGGCTCATGCCTGTAATCCTAGCTATTCAGGAAGTAAGACCTGACGATTATGGTTCAAAGCCAGCCTAGACAGAAAAGTCCATGAGACTCATCTCCAATTAACCACCAGAAAACCAGAAGGGGTGCTGTGGCTCAAGTGGTAGAGCCTTGAGCACCCAGGCCCAGAGTTCAAGCCACATGACAGACCAAAAAAAAAAAAAAAAAGGCTACATTGAGCTTTTACAGTAAGTCAGTGCACTTCTTAAATTAATACCCATACGCAGCTATTTCTCACATACTTCATGACAGTTATTACTGTAAAACTCACTATATCCAATGCCTGAATTAGTCAGAAAATTTTAAACAAAAATAAGTTACTATGATTTAGACCCAATCTTTTGTTAGCCATCACAAAAGCACTATACCCCCAAAGTAAACTTCTTCCCCAGATTTCTGATATAAAATTAGAGATTAACAACTCTGGCTTAAGATTTATCTTTAAATGCAACACATTCAGGGAAACATACACCAAGTTCTATCAGTCAGTACCTGTGTAGAGAACAAACTATATCAGAATACCTACCAGCTCCAGAGTTCAGACTTTACCGTTTATCAGCTTCTAAAGGCCCTCAGCTATATGAAGTGGGATGTTATCTTTCCTATATTACCTTCAGCAAGTATAAACTATACAAAACAATTCATATAAATATTGTTTTATACAAAAATTGTTTTTTATTGTAAAACAAAACATTGTTTTATAAAAATAAGGTAAAAACATTTGCACAAAGACTGATAAGGTAGCAGTGGGAAAAAAAAGGACAAACAGATCTATTTAACAGACAACCAAAAATTTCATCTTCTGTTCTGAGTTCTTTCTACCACAGTGATACAGCTACAAATACTAAGAAAGTGTCAACTACAAATTTTAATTTTAGTAGGAAACAAAATTTTCAACTAAAAAGGCTCTACAAAAACTAATTTCAGTTTTCTCAACCTTCCACAGTGTCTTTCATCAAGAACAATTCTGCTCGTATAAGTCATCATGTTTCTTTAGACATGATCTGTGGCATATTTTGTCTTGTTTTCTATGATCTTGATAATTTGGGGGGTTAGTAGTTGGGCATTCTGTTGAATTTCCTTCAGCTTATATTTGATGTTTTTCTATTAGTGGGTATGTATTTTTATGAATGATATTGTACTTTTAACAAATTTTAATAATGTTCTGTAACAAAAAGTTATTGCACATTTCTTATAACAAATAGATAGCTTTTGGGCTGGGATATAGCTCAGTGGCAAAGCGCTTGCCTAGCAAGTGCAACATCCTGGGTTTGATCCCCACTACCAAAGACGACAAAAAAAAAAACAGTTAAGAAAACAAATAGCTTCTAAGTTTTCTTCTTTGCTCACACGTAGGAGAATGACAGACATTTTACTTTACAAAGATTACTCAGATATGGGCAAAATTATACACAGCCAGCTGTCAGTGTCTCATGACTAGCTACTCTGGATGCTGAGATCTGAGAATCAAGGTACAAAGCCAGTCCAGTCAGGAAAGTACAGAGACTCTTAACTCTTAACTCCAATTAACTACAGAAAGTGGGAAATCCAGCTATAGCTCATGTAGTAACGCACTAGCCTTGAGTAAAAATACTCACCGACAGTGGCCAGAATCTGAGTTCAAACCTCAGGACTGGTACATGCACACACATGCACACATTCGCACTTGTGCACACGCACACACACACACACACACACACACACACACACACACACACAAAAGCAAATTTATTCTATCACAAGAACCTGATTCCTAGTTTTATTTAGAAAATGAACATCCAACATCCTCTACTTCAAATGATAACTCTTGCTTTAGTCAATTAATCTCAAAAGAGAATGTACACCAAACACTATTACCTTAGCAATTTTGCATATTTTCCATTAGCCCATCTTTTGTTTTTTGGTTTTTTTTTGGTCCGGTCATGGGGCCTGAACTCTGGGCCTGGGCACTGTCCCTCAACTCTTCAGCTCAAGGCTAGCGCTCTACCACTTGAGCCACAGCACCACTCCTGGCTTTTTTCTTTTTGCTTATGGGGTGCTGAGGAATCGAACCCAGGTCCTCATGCATGCAAGGCAAGCGCTCTACCACTGAGCCACCTTCCCAGCCCCTCCATTAGCCCATCTTTAAAAAAAAAACAAAAAACAAAAAAAAACACAACAGAGCAGTGGTAGCCCACACCTGTGATCCTAGCTAGGCTCACAGTTCAAAACCTGCCCAGGCAGGAAAATCCCTAAGACTCTTATCTCCAATTAATCACCAAAAAGCCAGAAGTGGAGCTGTGCTCAAGTGGTAGAATCCCAATTTTGAGCCAAAAAGCTATAGGACAACACCTGAGGATCACTACAAACACAAAAGTACAACAAAGAAATAAATGTAGCAATATTCTTGTTCATTATTACACTTATGTCCCAGATAAAATGCCCTAGCTTTTACTCACCCGAGATTTCTAGTTCTGCCCAGTGAGATTTTTTCCCATTGGCTACCTCCTCTGCTGACATGATGGTATAAATTCTGCGAGGATCTGGAGGATCATATTTTTCCTTTGGCATCCCTATTAGTCTGTGGGGGAAAAAAAATGAAACAATCAAAATTACTACAGTCCTATTAAAAAGAGACAGAATAAGATAGTATGTTTTCTTTTCCTCATTGCAGGCTAGCAAATAAATTTACACTACAAATTCTCACTTGAAGGAAAACACATCTGCAGTATGCAAGGCTCTTATAGATGCCCATTAACAGACACATACGGAAAAATGCAAACTAGTTATCACACACTAGGCTGCAATGAACACCGTGGTTCCTTCTTAAGCCCATCTATTCACTTGACTATTGTTTCCTAGAAAAGACAACCACCTTCCTGAATGGACTCTGATTAGGAGAATAAGGTTCTATTAAGATATCCTAAAACAATCAGCTCATAACATCCCCCTTGACACAAAGATTAAATGTATCTAATAATCAAAACATCCTAGGACTCATTCTATCTTTATGGGAAAACCAGGGTGCCCTCTCCTGCTGATCATAAATAAAGAATATAGTCCAGAACCACTGCAGGCAGCCATTCAACTACAAAGGAAGCCAGCCACAGAACACAAATCTAGAAAAGAGAAACAAAGCCAAAGTATTCAGTGAGTCTCATGTGTTACACAAACAAGGTAGTATATTTTCCTTACTAAGGTAATTTGACTTTTGTTCTCTGTATTTCCCATCAAACACCTCCTTCATAGGTGATTGCATATTTTGTTGGTTAGCCTGGGCCATTCTTGATTTATGTCTACAGTCCTAAATAATGATTTTTATCATTACTCTCAAAAGTGTTCTATTGGATAACTTACATGGCCACTATGACCAAAACTAGTACATGTGGTCTTCATAAAGTATATACAGTCTTCTTCATAATCAGAAAACAATTATCAATCATGACCAACTTAGACATAAAACTGCTCCAATGCTGGGCACCACTGACTCACTCCCTTAACCCTAGCTACTCAAGAGGCTGAGATCTGAGGACTGAAGTTCAAAATGGTTTTGGTTTGATGTGCATATCCACATTGATACTCGGGCTTCAACTCGAGCCTGGGCACCATCCCTGAGCTTTTTCACCCAAGGTTTATGCTGTTCCACTTGAACCAGAGCTCCACTTCCAGCTCCTGGCTGGTTAGAGAGAGGAGTCTCACGGACTTTTCTACCCACACTAACATCAAACCACAATACTCTATGAAGCTGAACTAAGTTAATAAATATTCTAAATTAAGTGTTACGTTCAGGTGGTTTGAAATGTGTTAAATGGATAAGGAAAAATGGTGTTCTATATCATATACCAAGAAATTTAAGCTAGTTTAATAGAGTACAACCAAACTTTCCCACATCACAAGTTATAGGGAAATACTAATTTTTTTCTACCTACTTGAAGAAAGAAAGTTTTTCAAATTTGTTAATCTATTAACAGTAATTAATTCCCAAGCCTCTAGATTAAACTCAATTTCAACATACGATGTGGGTGATACTAATCCATATTTCTCCTTAAATGTTTTTTTCTATAAATGTTGTATAAAATCAAATCGCACTAAGAATATGATTAGTTTTCAAAGAGGAGAAAACATGATTTCTTCCACATGTTTTACATAAAATGTTTCTTTAAAACAAAAATTAAAGATGCCAGGTGGTAGTGGCTGAGAGGAAAGAGCTAAGGATCAATTGGAAGCCAGTCCATGCAAGAAAGTCCTGGGCAGTCTCATCTCCAAGTAAGCATGCATAATTGAGCTATGGCTCAAGTGGTAGAGAGCAAAAAAGCACAGGGATAGCACCAAGGCCCTGAGTTCAAGCCCCAGGACCAGCACTAAAAATAAATGGACTCATCACCTTGCTCATGTAATTGTAACTCCTCTGTACAGTATCTTTACAATAAAAAATATATATTTAAAAATTAAAAAAAAAATAATCCATTGTTAATCCTAGCTACTCAGGAGGCTGAGATCTGAGAATCGCGGTTCAAAGCCAGCCCGGGCAGGAAAGACGGTGAGACTCCTATCTCCAATAAACCACTAGAAAACCGGAAGTGGCGCTGTAGCTCAAGTGGTAGAGCGCTCACCTTGAGCTGAAGAGCTGAGGGACAGCACCCAGGCCCAGAGTTCAAGCCCCATGACCGACAAAAAAAAAAAAAAATCCATTGTAATAAACAATTAAATGGCGACTCACTGGTACCTGCTGAGTAACTGTACAACTCTGAGTACAAATTTCTAGTTCAGACAAAATAAATACACACATACACACTACTGTACATTGAAAGGCACAGAAACTGCCTGCTGCCTGTGGGCTTTTTTGTGTGTGATTTTTAGAGGGTCTCACTATACAGCCCAAGCTGGATCTATGTAGCCAAGACTTGCTTGAATTCATGATTCTCCTACCTTAGCCTCCTCCCAACACCTTCTGGGATAGACATGTGCCACTACAACCACCTATATGCCCTTTGGCCTTGAGGCGAATTTAAAATTACATTTCCTATGAGTGTCTAATTTCTACATCATATTAATTCCCAAAGGAACTTTCCATTAATTAGGTTTTCTAGTATACCAGAGAATACTAATGTATATAGAGAACCTATTTGTATAAACGAAGTGAGCTAAAAAATCCCTTAGTAACACAACAGCTTGTAACTTCCCAGTCTTTTTTTTTTTTTTTTTTTTATTATGCATACATTTCTTACCAAGCATTGCAGCCTCCTCCTTTGTTTACCCTTCACCTCCCTTCCCAGCCTCCCCCCTCCCTCCCACCCAATCATACCCCCCCCCCCCCCCGACATTGTAAAGCTGGTTTTGACATGACATTTTGTACTTCTCATTGTTGCAACAGGTCCACCTGAATCCTTAAACGACTTGTTTGTCCCCATCTCCTCCACATGTTATACTGACATCAAATATAGTGAAAGCGGGGGTTACACTGTGGGGGAGGGACATACAAAGCAACAAAGAGATAATATTATAAATGCGTTAGAAACACATGCATGAAAGAAACAAAAACATTAAAATACATATTTGAGGTTTCGTTTTCCTAACATCACATTATTTGACTTTTTCCGCTTGACTCATACCTATACTAGATATTGCAAATAAGGGAAACCATGGGACCTATGTTTCTTTGGGCCTGGCTTACTTCACTTAATATAATTTTAACTTCCCAGTCTTGAAACCATTTCAACACTGAAACACTGACTATACAAGCTGCTTTTAACTTGCCTTCCATTCTCTGTTCCACCTTTGCAGCTTTTGGCCAATCTACTGTAAATGTCCTGAGACTAGCCATTAGCCCTGAACAAAAACTCTATTATCTACTACTTCGTGGTCTCTATATGAACTGTGCTATCTAAAAGTAAAATAATTTAATCTCTATTACTAACAGCTAATTAAACATGATCATAGTAAAAATTGATAAATTATTACAAATTGTCCCACTAAACAAATTTCAGGTAATTCTATAAAATACTGACTTGCTGGAAAATTATTTCAATTCTTAATTTCAAGCAATGTTATATGCAATACTAGAATATTCTACATAGAAAAATCTAAGTTGGTATTTCCAACGGTACAAATAAAATTAACTATAAACATGCTATTTCAATGAATAACCTGTTACAAAGCATACATGAAATACATCCAAATATTCTATTACTACAGAATCATATGAAGCTAAGAAAATAAGGTAGCACACTGCTCCTTGAAAAAAATAATCTGAGAAAAATCAGACAAGTATTAAAAGCTACAACTAAACTTCTGTAGCTGTTGTAGCAATATATGTATGCATGTGTGTATGTATATGTACATATGTATGTATGTGTGTATATCCTGAAGCATGTGTAAAGATATAAGCACTAGGGCACTAAACCACAATTTCTGTCTCACAAAACATATCTAAGTTTAAAATCACTTTATAGTTCAGCATGTTACTTCACTTAGAATTTAGATTAAGAGAATACTACAAACATCTTGAGTACTTCCTAAGGAAGCAAAAACTTCTAGTAATCCCACCCTAAAACACAAACATTAAGTAGTACTTATTTATGTCCATAGAAATATTAAGTGATCAAAAAAAAAAGAAATATTAAGTGATCAGCTCAACAGCTTACAAAATCAGTCAGGCAGAGATGCAGATGCTAATAGGGTTGAAGAACAAAAAACTAAGCCTACATAAGAGATTTCAGCTGAAATTTTAGAGCTATTCATTTTTAATGGCTAATTACATTTTACACATTCTCAAATAAGTCTATCTCGGGTTGTCACTTATTCTCAAAGGCTACAGAAACATATTGTCAGCTTATGGTAATCCTAAGTGCTTAGCAAACACCCTGAGATAAAGAACAATTTCCTTAGTAAGAGCCTAGATGCTTTTGGTCTCTTAAGTCCATACATGGTAAATATTGCAACCATTCCGAAACAATTGTATTCTAAGCTTTCCTGTCACCTCCAGCTCTGCGATCTCACTTACAGAAAGAAAATGTACGGCCAGGTGTCAGTGGCTCATATCTGTAATCCTAGCTACTGCTCAGGAGGCTGTGATCTGAGGATCATGGTTTGAAGTCAGCCCAGGCAGAACAAGTCCCAGAGACTTTTGTTTCCAATTATGCACCAAAAAAAAAAAGCCCTAAGTGGATTATCAGACAGAGGTCAGGTCAAAAAACTATTTATTTAATTTATTTATGTAAGTATGGAGTTTAAATTCAGAGCTTCTAGCTTGCCAAGCAGGCACATACCACAGAGTCATACTTCCATCCTGGCAACTTTTGAGATAGGGTCTCACTTGCTGCCTGAAGATCTATTCTAGACTTCTTATGGATGACAGATGAGCACAACTGCACCAAGCATCTTTCTGTTGAGATGGAATCTCACTTTTTTGCCCAGGCAGACCTGAACTGTGATCTTTGTAATCTTAGTCTCCACATAGTTTAGGATGGCAAGCATGTACCACTGTGTCCAGCTATCCACTGAGAAAGGGTGTCTTGAGAACTTTTCTGCCTGGGCTAGCCTCAAAACATAATCCTCCCATTCTCAGCCTCCAAAGTAACC